GGGGAGGAGGAGGGGGATTCAGCAGGGAGGAGAAGGTGGCAAAGTGCTTCGTAGGGTTAGAGGCAGAGGCTTGAAATTTAGAGTGGTAGAAAGTGGCTTTAGCAGCAGAAACAGAGGAAGAGAATATTGAGAGGAGGGAGTGAAAAGATGACAGGTCCGCAGGGAGTCTAGTTTTCCTCCATTTCCGCTCGCCTGCCCGGAGCCCTCTTCTGTGAGCTCGCAATGAGTCGTCAAGCCACGGAGCAGGAGGGGAGGACTGAGCCGGCCGGGAGGATAGGGGACATAGAGAGTCAAAAGATGCAGAAAGGGAGGAGAGGAGGGTTGAGGAGGCAGAATCAGGAGATCGGAGGGAGAAGGATTTAGCAGAGGGAAGAGATGATAGGATGGAAGAGGAGAGAGTAGCGGGAGAGAGAGAGCGAAGGTTGCGACGGCACATTACCATCGGAGTAGGGCAGAGTGAGTAGTGTTGGAGGAGAGCGAGAGAGAAAAGGATACAAAGTAGTGGTCGGAGACTTGGAGGGGAGTTGCAGTGAGATTAGTAGAAGAACAGCATCTAGAAAAGATGAGGTCAAGCGTATTGCCTGCCTTGTGAGTAGGGGGGGACGGTGAGAGGGTGAGGTCAAAAGAGGAAAGGAGTGGAAAGAAGGAGGCAGAGAGAAATGAGTCAAAGGCAGACGTAGGGAGGTTAAAGTCACCCACAACTGTGAGGGATGAGCCATCCTCAGGAAAGGAACTTATCAAGGCGTCAAGCTCATTGATGAACTCTCCAAGGGAACCTGGATGGCGATAAATGACAAGGATGTTAAGCTTGAATGGGCTAGTGACTGTGACAGCATGGAATTCAAATGAGGAGATAGACAGATGGGTCAGGGGAAAAAGAAAGAATGTCCACTTGGGAGAGATGAGGATTCCTGTGCCACCGCCGCGCTGACCAGATGCTCTCGGGGTATGCGAGAACACATGGTCAGACGAGGAAAGTGCAGTAGGAGTAGCAGTGTTTTCTGTGGTAATCCATGTTTCCGTCAGCGCCAAGAAGTCGAGGGACTGGAGGGTAGCATAGGCTGAGATTAACTCTGCCTTGTTGGCCGCTGAACGGCCATTCCAGAGGCTGCCGGGGACCTGGAACTCCACGTGGGTCGTGCGTGCAGGGAACACCAGATTAGAGTGGCAGCAGCCACGCGGTGTGAAGCGTTTGTATGGCCTGTGCAGAGAGGAGAGAACAGGGATAGACAGACACATAGTTGACAGGCTACAGAAAAAGGCTACAATAATGCAAAGGAGATCAGAATGAAATGAACTAAACATCTGGGAAAGCGAGAGAGCGGGGCCTCCCTCACTTACGTTTCACTGAAACACTCAAATATAACTCTCCCAACTTCCACTTTAGAAATTATAATTGTCGTAAACTACAGCGGTTCAATGTTTTCTAGGAATAGACTTTAACTTAGTTTATTCAGCTAGCTAACTTGGTTACAGTATTCTTCAGTGAAAACCGTCCAGGGCACCGAATCCTATGACACCATAGCCAACTAGCATGCCAGCCTCCAATAACACGGTTTAGCACCAATACTCAGTTACAACAAACCAGTGTGTTAACACGCCAAACAGATCATTTGTGTCCGTGTCTAACGTTGTGTAACGTTTTGGGTTAGTTTTGACAGTTTGAGTGAGTACGTCGTCAACTTCTTCAGCCAGTTAGTTAGCTAGAATAGTTAGCATACTAGCTAGCCATTGCTCTCTGCCAACGAAACACCCCTCCTCCAACAGCAAGAAACACACAGAGAGAGCCAAGCTAACGTTAACTAGTCACCCATGTCCCGAATTCCCTTGAACGACTCTTGTTACCAGTATGTAAAAACAAAACAAAAATAAATGTAGGTTATAACTTACCCTTAGTAGCTACTGTTAGCCAGTTAAGTGCAAAGCTAGCCACTGAATCGATTCAGCCAGTTCGCGTCTGTTCCAACAGAGAGAAAGCGTCTCCAAATATTACAGCTAGGTCGTTCCAGCTATTGTTTAGTTAGCTATCCAGGTAGCAACAAGCTAGCTACATTTCGAGTATAGTAGCTACTAACTACCTAACGTTAACGCTTCAGATAATGAGGTTAGAAAAACAGCTGAATGGTAGGTAGCTAGCTGGCATAATTACAGGTACTCTTAAGCTTGAAATAACATTGGAAACAACTATCCACAGTTGCTAATAGTTACCAGTAGCTACCCGCTAGCTAGCTTTATTGGTCCAGATAGTGGGTTAGCTAGCCTCGTGCTTCACCGGGCTCAGCCGAATACAATACTTACCTACAATAATTACCTACAATAACCTACAATAACTACCTAGATAAACTACCTACAATACCTAACTACAATACCTACCTACACTCTAAATACATGGTTTAAGCTTTACTCGACACCATATAAGCCAAGCTTACCTCCCGCTAGAGAAAACACAACCTCACCCGACCAGACCAGGGGTAGGAGGAAGAATGTACAACTGGATAAAGGACTTCCTGTTTGGAAGGTCTATCCAGGTGAGGGTCGGGAAGTCTTTATCAGGCAGCTACTTGGTGGATAATGGTACACCGCAGGGGAGCATGATTAGTCCTCTGTTGTTCTCAATCATGATCAATGATGTTTACTCTCAGGTACTGCCGGATATAGGGAGGTCGTTATTTGCAGATGATGGTGCCTTATGGAAGAGGGGAAGAAATGTGCCATACATAGTCAGGAAGGTACAGGAAGCAATTGATGAGGTAGAGCGGTGGGCATTCATGTGGGGATTCAGGTTCTCTGTAGAGAAAACTCAAACAGTGTTCTTTACCAGGAGGAAGGTGGGAGATGAGGTATGCTTGAGGTTATATGGGAGAAACTTGGAGAGGGTGGGGGCCTTCAGGTTCCTTGGGGTATACTTTGATACTAGACTGACCTGGGCAGAACACATTGAGAGAGTGGTGGGAAAGTGTAAGAAGGTGCTAAATGTGATGCGCTGTCTGACGAGGAAGGAGTGGGGGGCTGGGCGTTCCTCATTGAAGACCATGTATGTTGCATTGATCCGATCTGTAATAGACTATGGAAGTATAGCATATGGTTCGGCAGCCCGGACCTCACTGGAAAGGCTAGATGTCATACAGGGGCAAGGACTCAGAATATGTAGTGGGGCGTTTCGGACATCCCCAGTGGCAGCATTACAGGTGGAGATGGGGGATATGCCGTTACAGATTAGGAGACAGCAGCTGGCAATGAATTATTGGGTCAACCTACAAGGACATGGGGTGTCTCATCCTGTGAAAGGGATTTTACAGGCATGCTGGGAACATGAGCGAAGACTGAACACGAGCTTTGGGTGGGTAAAACCCAGGCGAAGGAGATAGGACTGTATGGAAGGGAGTTTAGTCCAACGGTAGTTATTCCTGTAAATCCACCATGGCTACTCCCGCCTCCAGTAGTTGATCTAGAAGTGTTGGAGAGACTACAGAAAGATAGGGAGGGGGTTGATCCAGCTGATTTCTTTAAGAGATGTCTGGAAACTGTGTATCAGGATTTTGTGGCCATTTACACAGATGGTTCAAAAGATCCAAGGACAGGACGTACTGGGTCAGCATTTGTAGTGCAGGAGTGTGGGGTGGAAGTCAGGAAACGTATTACAGATCATCTGGCTGTATATACGGCGGAGCTGATGGCCATACTGTTGGCCTTGCAGTGGGTGGAGGAAGTTAAGCCAGACAGAATAGTTATTTGCTCTGACTCATGTGCAGTGTTAATGAGTCTCCAGTCCTTTAGCTCATGTAGCAGACAAGACCTGCTTTATGAGGTGCTACAAACCCATGGCAGGATTAAACAGATGGGTATTCAGATAAGATTTACTTGGGTTCCAGCCCATGTGGGGGTGGAGGGGAACGAGGCAGTAGATGAACAGGCTAAACAAGCACTTAGTAGTGGGGATGTTGATGTTGTGTCAATGAGGAAGGCAGAGGCAAAAAGACTGATATATACAGTGATGGTGCAGAGATGGCAGGAGCAGTGGAATATAAATAATAAGGGAAGGCATTTATTTCAGGTACAGAGGAAAGTCGGGGAGGCAGGAAGGGACAGAAGAGAGGAGGCTATTTTTAAAAGATTAAGGATGGGACACAGCCAGTTGAATAAGAAATTAAATGTGATAGGAAAGCATCCATCAGGAAAGTGTGATTATTGTCAGGAAATAGAGACTGTGGAGCATGTATTGCTTTCAGAAAATGATGTCATGGCTTTAGAAGCTTCTGATAGGCTAATTGACATCATTTGAGTCAATTGGAGGCATACCTGTGGATGTATTTCAAGGCCTACCTTCAAACTCAGTGCCTCTTTGCTTGACATCATGTGAAAATCAAAAGAAATCAGCCAAGACCTCAGAAAAATTATTGTAGACCTCCACAAGTCTGTGGTCCTCTGTAGCTCAGCTGGTAGAGCACGGCGCTTGTAACGTCAAGGTAGTGGGTTCGATCCCCGGGACCACCCATACACAAAAGATGTATGCACGCATGACTGTAAGTCGCTTTGGATAAAAGCGTCTGCTAAATGGCATATTATTATTATTATTATTACAGTGTGGGCAGTATCAGAGGGAAAGAGAGAGGATGATATTTAGTATGAGAGAGAAGGGGATACAGGAAATTAGTTTAAAGAGTATATTGAGCAGAATGTCATTAGATATAGTCTCAAATATTTTGTTATCTTTTTTAAGAGAAACGGGGTTGGCAGGTAGGATTTAGTTTCTCCCCGTCTCTGGCCCACATTCCAGTACAGTAGGTGGCGGTAATGCACCATAATGTTGGATGCCAACCGCCGATAAACCCCACTGAAGAAGAAGAAGAAATTCCGTGACCCAGAAGTGATCTGACAAGACGCTTCACGTGGATGACAGTAGCAGCCAGTTAGCCAAAATGTGCTAATGAAGACAAATGTAGCTACCTAGATACTTATTGTTTTTATTCTAACGTTACGTGAATTAATCGGAGGTCAAAATGGCTACAATTTCCAATATGTTCAAGTCAGAAACAACATCGATTATGGCCTTTGTCGTCGAGATGGCAATGACAGAAATGTACAGATTTTTGCCAAACTATGACGCTAACAACGATGGTAATCCGGAGAGAGAGGTGAGTATTGTAAAATATTTCCGGCACTGAGCAGTATGATTACGGGCGCCTAGTGACTACAACCAGCTACGTTAGCTAACGAACTAAAGTGATCTGCATAAATTAGCGTCCTCCTATTTGTTTAGTTAGCTAGATCGTTAACTACCTACTGTAACCTAATTTAACAGGCGTGAAAGAAACGTCTGAGCGTGTCCCCACTTCTGGTGTTCAGGGAAATGGAAGCTAGGTTGAAGATACTGTATCCCTGAAACCGGATGGTTTTGGTTTTCGTCAACTACCTAATTTGGCTACCTAACTACTTAACTAGTACTACTGGTAGTTACTGGTTTCACACCCTCTGCTGTAGCTGGCTGTATACAGTAACTAATTAGTTCACTTGTTTCTATTTCTCTACACAGCTCTGCACTGTTATGAATTTGTTGATGGGGGAGGGTATTCGTAAAATCTGCCAACTATTCCTAGTGGCCTCCTCACGTTTGCTAAATGAAAACGACAAACTGAAGACCAAGGTGGAGCAGATGGACGAAGATCTGAAGGCAATGACTGAGAAAGCTGAACATTATAGAACGTCTCTGGCTAAAGTGGAAGCAGAACCGAAAGTACCGACACCAACCCATGTTCTGCACAATGGAATGATCTTTGCAATAAAACCAGTTGGTGAGTGTTGTAGACCTACACAGTCATTAGGTTACTGCCTATAACAAGTTAGCTAAATAGGTCTGTTGTAGGCATACTGATTGTTTTGTGCCCCATCTTTTGATAGTTTTGTTTGTATCAATTTCACACATCATTTTGTGGAAATGAAAAAGTGAGAGTTTTGAACATGTTTCAATTTAACTTTGCTTGTTATTCTTTAGATCTCCCATTGTTGCCTGGAATGACTGCGGTTTCAGCATTGCCAGGGAATTTCAGTCGAGCAAACACAGTCACTAATGCAACGTCCATCCATGCAGGTAATATCCTCAAGATGGTGTTATTTTGAATAATCGTTGCCAAACCAGGGGTGCGTTCAGTTCAATGTTTGCTGTGATGGTTTGTATGTTTTGTACCGAAATAAATGTTTCCCTCAAACAGTGCGCGTTATTGGCTAACTGGAAAACGTTTTTTTCAGAATAACACCGTTACCTTTGAATCTCATGTTGTACAGTTGTGTCCTGCTGAACGTGGTCCAGGGTCATATTCACTAGGAACCAAACAAAAGCAAATGGGCCAAAATGGGGAATGACTACCTGAACTTTTTTTCTGTGGTGTGCACTAATGAATATGACCCAGTTGTTCGAAAACAATACACAGGCTGTTAAAAAGCATGTTTATTTTAAGGCAAAAATATGGATACAGCCATATATTGGTTGATTTATTTGACTAAATTAATTTTGTATAAGCTAATCGTTTTGTTAAATTCTCTAACTTAGGCTATTCCTTTTATGTTTAGGACCTGCAAAGGTTTGCAGTAAACCTACAGAGACGTCTTCATTGGAGTATGACTCCTCTCTGACTACAGTGCCCTCACCAAGAGATACTGAATCCAACGTTGAGCATATGAGAGCTGCTCTTCCAGAGGGCACCGACAACGGCAGAGACAGCCATGAAAGCCAGAAAAACAGCAATACTACTAATGGGACAGGATCCACAGAAAACAAACACTTCAAGTGTGATGTTTGTGAGAAGACATTCAGCAAAAAAGAGTTGCTGAGAGTTCACAAGCTAATCCACACAAAACCCTTCAAGTGTGATGTTTGTGAGAAGACCTTCAGCAGGAAAGGGTTACTTGAAGGTCATAAGCTAATTCACACAAGGCCCTTCACGTGTGATGTTTGTGACAAGACCTTCAGCCTGAACCGCATGATGTTACGTCACAAGCTAATTCACACAGGAGAGAGGCCGTTTGCTTGTGGTCAATGTGGCAAAACATTCAGAATGTCCAAGCAGCTCGAACGCCACATGTTTCATCACAAAGAAAACAATTTAAGTTGCAAAGTCTGTGGAAATACATTCTCTACCAAGACAGATCTTACACAACATCGGCTAGTTCATGCAGTGGAGAGACCGTTCAAGTGCCTGACTTGTGGAAAGTGTTTCACAAAAAGGACCATACTTATGGGGCACGAGAGAATCCACACCGGTGAAAAACCATACAGCTGCGCTGAATGTGGGAAGAGTTACAGACAGTCTTATGACCTAAGAATTCATATGCGAAGACATACAGGTGCAGACATACGTCCACACTTATGCTCAGAGTGTGGTAAGAGCTTTAGGACAAAGTCCGTCCTCGAAAAGCACAAGCGAATTCATACAGGGGAGAAGCCATTTAAATGTGAGACCTGTGGAGCTGCTTTTGGCCATAAAGGAAACCTTGTGAGACACCAAGTTCTTCACACGGGGGAGAGACCATACAAATGTAAAGTGTGTGGGAAAAGCTACCCACAGTCCACCGACTTAAAAGCTCACATGCACCGTCATGGGGCAACCAAACCATTTATGTGTGACCTATGTGGAAAGACTTTTATTTACAATTACCAAATGAGACAACACAATCTACAATGGCACACGGCTGAAGGAGATAAGGTTCCTGGGAGAGAGGGAACATCAACAAAGCCATTCAGTTGCAACATATGTTTGAACGGCTTCAGCTCCATGCTAACTCTGAAAAAGCATAAAGAAATTCACACAGGACAAAAGCAATACTCTTGTTCCATTTGCGGAAAGACCATTGCATATAAAAATGCTTTTGACTATCACATGAGAGTTCACAGTGGAGTGAAGCCCCATGAATGCAAATACTGTGGAAGGAAATTCATTCTGAAGCAAGCTCTTCAAGGACATGAGAGGACCCATACAGGTGAAAAACCCTTCAAATGCAGTTATTGTGACAAGACTTTTGCAGTCAACACCAATCTGAAAAGGCATGAGCGAATCCACACGGGAGAGAAGCCATTCAAATGTGATGTCTGCGGGAGAGGTTTCAGCCAAGCCAACAATGTCAAAGCCCACATGCAAGTCCACACTGGAGTTAGGCCTTACTATTGCAAGAGATGTGGAAAAGGCTTTTCTGACATAAGACACTACAAAAACCATAGCTGTAATGGTGTGGCAGCGACACGCACACACTGTGATGGTGATAATTATCGTAAATCTTCTGACCGCACTTTCAGAAGTAGAAAAGGAGGTAGACAGGAGTGCTTGCCATAATGCTGCTGTTGTGTAGACTCAGCGATATTATCTCTATATCATCTACAGACTAAACTACAGTGGTGCAACTTCCTGCTTACAGATGTCATGAACAATGGGGATTTATTCAGGAGGGTGAAATGTTCTCGGGTTAGTTTCTGGAAAGCCTCGTAGGAAATGAGAAAGCGTGCTTTAGGAAATTAGATATGTGCTTGCTGTAATGCTAGGAGATCTTGCTATAAGTCAAAGGGTTAATGTTCATGAGCCCAAGTTCTTATTTGTTCTTATTGTGTAAATCAATAAACGGATAATTCATGTGAATATCAGAACTAGGCATTCACATTTTGTCCGTCAGTTATATAGAGACCCCTAGGTGAGTTATTCAGGTGACTGCAAAGGTGACTCCTGACTGGGCAAAAAAGTTTAATGAATTCTTGTTTTAAAAACAATTCTTACATTTTTAAATGCACCTGAAGTATTTTTCCTGATTTATACACTGAAGTTTACAGTGGCACCAGTCTCTGTTTTTCTGTGCTTGGTGAAGTTAAATTGGCAGGCAGGTTATTGCCAACTTGAAAATCCTGACTAAAGTGTTGTTTTTTTATCGTAGCTTTCTGCTCAAAAACCTTGCATCAGTCCTACTTGCATTTCTAAATATTTACGATACAGAATAGATGTAATTGTACTAGCAGCACTTTATTGGCTTAGACCAGGGGTGTCAAACTCATTTTAGCTCAGGGGCCACATGGAGGAAAATCTATTCCCAAGTGGGCCGGACCGGAAAAATCATGGTATATATAACTTAAAAACAACAACTTCAGATTGTTTTCTTTGTTTTAATACGATCAACATAAATCTGGAGCCTGAGGACAGTGTGTCCAAAATAGTACAAGCACAACATCACTATTAATCATAAAACACGTCAAGTTTATTTGAAAATTCTAAAGAAAAAGAACACACAAACACACAATGCCTCAGTGATTAACAGAACTGTTTCACAGATCACAGAACTATATCAGGGTGTCATTTCTCAGGCAGAAATGTAGATAAAAATAATGAAATCCTGTTCCCCAAACAAGTGCAAGAACCACAGAGTCAAGAATAGGTTAAATATACAAATAAAATAAAATCAATTAAAAACAATAGCACATCAACATAAAAACATATAAACATAAATCTGAAAGCGTTGCTCAAACTCCCGTAACAGTCCCGTTATTTTATCTTTGAACCGCTTCATGTCTGCCACATGTTGGGTCGCGCACACATTTTTCAGACAGGGGAAGTGAGCTGCATCACCACCGGCAAGTTGCGTCTCCCACAATGACAGCTTCAACTTGAAAGAACATATGCTGTCATAATACTGCGTGACAACTTTGTTGCGCCCTTGCAGCTGTTTGTTCAAGTTATTCAGGTGCTCTGTAACATCCACCATAAATGCAAGGTCCGGCATCCATTCTGCGGAATGAAATTCTAACACTGGTTTGCCCTTTTCTTCCATGAACTGTTCAATTTCTTCTCGTAAATCAAAGAAACGCCTCAGCACAGCACCTCGGCTTAACCATCTTACCTCAGTGTGGTATGGCAGGCCATAGATGTGGTCTTTCTCTCTGAGAAGGCTGTCAAACTGACGGTGATTCAGGCTTCTGGATCGGATGAAATTAACAGTTTGGATGACCACCTTCATGACGTTATCCATCTTTAATGACTTGCAACACAAAGCCTCCTGGTGCAAAATACAGTGAAAAGTCAAAAAATCACGTCCTCCATTTGCAGATTGCACTTTCTCTCTGAACTTTGTCACAACGCCTGCTTTTTTCCCGATCATTGAGGGCGCACCATCTGTAGCCAGGCTGACAGCGCGGGACCAGTCCACTCTGACCCTGTCCAGCGCGCCGACGAGTGTGGTAAAAATATCAGCTGCTGTCGTTGTATCTGTCATCGGCACCAACTCCACAAACTCCTCGGTGACGGTCAATGTGTCATCAACTCCGCGGATGAAAAAATGGCCAGTTGTGCAACTTCTGTAATGTCCGTGCTTTCATCAATTGCAACCGAAAACGCAATAAATGACTTTACTTTTTGCTTCAACTGGCTGTCCAAATCCACTGAAAGATCGGAAATCCTGTCTGCAACTGTGTTTCTTGTCAGGCTGATATTTGCAAAAGCCTGCCGCTTTTCAGGGCACACAATCTCCGCTGCCTTCATCATGCATGTTTTTACAAATTCACCCTCACTAAATGGTTTTGAAGCCACTGCGATTTCATTAGCAATGAGGTAGCTAGCTTTCACTGCTGCGTCACTGATGTCTCGGCTGTGAGTAAACACAGACTGCTGTTTCTTCAGACCCGCCAACAGTTCATTCACCTTCTCTCATCTCCGCTGTCCTTGAAAGTTGTCATATTTGTCGGCATGAAGACTCACATAGTGGCGACGAAGGTTATATTCTTTCAGCACTGCAACATGCTCTGAACACACCAAACATACAGCTTTCCCATTCAATTCCGTGATAAAATAGGATGACCATTTTTCTTGGAACACTCTGCACTCTGCGTCCACTTTTCTCTTTTTTGACAGAGACATATTGGGGCAATGAGGGTGCCAAAGCACATAATGTTAAAAGTAGAAGCCGTAGTAAATATCGCGGGCAAAACAAAGTAGCTCATTGGCTGCACGTGCTTGACCTACTTGCTCTGCCCAGGTATAAACAGTCTGCTTGCTTAACACAATTGCTATTGCGCCATCCAGTGGACGCAATTGGAACAGCAGTTTATTTTATTGAAAAATTGCAGCGCATTTTTATACTTTACAAAAAATTAAAAAAAAAAAAAAATATATATATATATATATATTTTTTTTAATCATCTCGCGGGCCGGATTAAACCCGTTTGCGGGCCTGATCCGGCCCGCGGGCCGTACGTTTGACACCCCTGGTTTAGACGGTTACAATGTGGAAGAAATTATAATTTAACAATGTTCAAAGCACCCCCCATCAACGAATATGGAAGAAAAAGGCAGGTAGCTTAGTGGTTAAGAGCGTTGTGCCCATTAACCGAAAGGTCGCTGGTTCTAATCCCCGAGCCGAGTAGGTGAAAAATCTGTCGATGTGCCCTTGAGCAAGGCACTTAACCCTAATTGCGCCTGTAAGTCGCTCTGGATAAGAGCGTCTGCTAAATGACAACAACAAAACAATTATAAAAAGGAAAAAAATGACCCATCAACGAAAGGTAGATGCAATAGCACTTACCTGCCTATATGACAAAACTGTAGTGAAAGTGGAGAATAGTGCAGCAATAGGACTTGACCTCAAACTAGACCTATTGGCTACCTAGCAACATTATATATACTGAACGAAAATATAAACGCAACAATTAACGATTTTACTGAGTTACAGTTCATATAAGGAGGAGGAGGGGGGGGCTTGTCTATAAGCGAACCAGTGATGCGCGCTTGGAGCAATACGGTCTGTATCCAAGGCTAAAGCCTGGCCTCAGCCAATTGTTGACATAACAACAGAATGCAGCACGCTACTGGAGAGAAGAGACAACCAACTTGCTAGTGACAGCATCAGCGCACGCTCTGGAATGACGGCGGAGAGTGGAAAAGCAGTTTGCCAGTTACAGCAGCAGCGCGTCTACTGACGAGAACGAAGAGGTATTTGAGAAGCCTGCCGACGGAGGTGATAAAGGTGTACTTAATGAGCTGTAACCGGAAAAACAACTGGCATTTGGAAAGTTTGAAGTGAGGGAGCAAGTGTGGTGCAACAAGAATTGTTAGCATTGTTAAGTATGTTGCTAGCTGGATCGAATTCTCTGTTAGCTAGCCGGAGAAATGTTGAGCAACATTCGCTAACTTAGCTGATCAAATAATTGAGTTTATGGCGTGAAACTTAGCTGAGTAACAAAGTCAGACACCTAGGTGGCTAGCTAAAGTTACAACATCAGATGAGCTAACGTTAGCTCGAGGAACCAATTAGCTATAGTATTAACTGGTATACGACTCCTTGTCGTTCCTCAAGCTATAACGTCTTTAGTTGCTCAGTGGACCCTGACGGCAATCTGTGTGACATGTTAACTAGATAGCTAGCTAACGATTTAACTACTATCTATGAACTAATGTATTCCCTCTGTGGTTCATTTTCAGAATGAGAGAATTAGGTGAAAATGAGGCGTTATTTGTTAAACAAGTGGATTCAGGGATCAAGTGTAGTTGGAGCTGGGCCTGGCTTAAGCTGGATGCCACTATAGAGGTGAAAGGAACACCACACACGTTCCCTCTTTCTCACTTTTTCAATAAGGTGGATAAAAATGGGTATGCCAGGTGTACTCTCTGCCTGAAAGAGATCAATTATGCCAACAAAGGGTCTCATGCTCTGCTGGCACATTGTAGAACAGATGTACACAGGTAGAAAGTGTACAATGTAATAATAACGCACAGTGTAGCCCAGATACTGCCCAGGGACACAGCAACATTCCACCAGGGGCCAGAGAAGATTAAGGAACAACAGGCTCAGCTTCCTGTGCCCACTATAGACCGCATAGCAAATGCAGAGGTAGGTGTGTTAGGTCAGCAGCATCACTATTTGAGAAGTCAGCATAGCACATGTTAAGCAAACTTAGTGTAGGTGAAATAAGTGTGCCTGCTTTTAGTTAATTTCCTCATTTATGTCTTCTAGGCTATGGTCCTTGGTGTCCTAGCAGAGCATTCCCTCCCCTTCGCTATTGCTCCAGTAATTGTTGAGCTAGCACAAAATCTTGCCAAAGGATCTTCTCAAACCTGAGGAGGTTTCCTTTTTCTTTGAACTTGGATGAGAGCACATCTAACAGCAACAAGAAGGTTGTTCTCATATTTAATTATTGTTATCTTATCCATTTGCCATTCTATTATCTCTACTCTATTTGCACTACTTTTATCTTGTTTTAATCTTATCTTACATTGTTGAAGAGAGAGCTCAAGGAGCAAGCATTTCTGTTCACTGTGCATTTGACAAATAAACCCTGATTTTATTTTATTTTATTTGAAGG